GCATTAAGAAGATAACCACACAAATAAAGTAAACTGTGATAAGTAGAAAGGAACAGTAACACAGGGAACTCTTAAGAAATTACAGCAGGATGATCATATTTCCATGAGGTTGGAAAAAAAAAAACTTCTCTGAGGAGATAACATGCGATCTTTGAGACTTAAAGAATGCACAGAAGTCAACCAAGGAGGACTGAGGGAAGCAGTGCAGGCAGCAGGAATGGCCAGTGCAAAGGCCCTGAGGCCACAGAGCTCTGTGCTTTCCAGAGGCCAGAATGGCCAGAGAGAGTGAGCAAAAAGGCAGAGGGGCATGACTTGAGTTAGGAGAAACAGGCAGTCAGAGCATCCTCGTGAAAGACTGGGGACCAACTTTGGGCTGCTGAGTGACAAGTTCAGGGTTGTGGAAGCAGGAAGATGACTCTGTCCCTGCAGTTGTCCTGCTGAGAGATGACCAGGCTGGGCTGGAGCAGCTAATGGAAATCGGGAGAGAAGCAGATGAATTTGAGGCAGCTTGGAGCTCCCTTTCCTCCTCCCTTCTCTGGTTTCATCCTCAAGCTGATGACTAGGTAATTCTGGTCATGTTCAAGGAATCAGCACCAAAGTGTGGTTGCCTTTTATGCCAGTTCACAAGGGTGTGGGAGAAGCCTGTGTTTCTGAGGCCATGTCTACACGGTGGAACCAAAAGGCTTGGCTGGCTGAAGTCCACAGCATCCTAGCCAGGAGATAGGGATGTTGGCAGCCCAGACCATGTATCATTTAGGCTTCAAACCGGTCCAAGATCATCCAAAACTAGTCAGAAAATCACCACCACCATCCCCATCCCTAATAGAATACAGCCAATGTTTGCCTGTCATAATTGAGACCAGCAGGGAAAGCAAGCTGTCAGGATCTCATGGAAGAACGAAGCCACCAGTGTGTCAGACAGGGAGCTGGTTGAGTGGGCAGAAACCAGAACTTGATCATTCCCTTTAGTTCATATCCCACCGAGACAAAAGGAGACACGCTGAGGGGCGGGGGTGCGAAGGGTGTTCATGGTCTGGTTTGTTACCCATTCTCAAGGTCCCACGCTGGTTCGAAGTTGAGAGTGAGTTGCATACTTTTTAATATTGATTTGACCTTACATGCTGATTAATCAGATTGTTTAAAATTAAGTGCCTCACGTCATATCTTGTTTTCGGGAGTTTAATTTTTACAGACCGCTGTGACTGACGTGTTGTAATAGAAAATCTGGCATCAGTGGGTGGCCGAGAGGGGCCGGGTTTCCTCAGCTAATTAGCTCCACGGCCTTGGGCTTGTTGCCTAAGCTACCAGAACTTCATTTGTCTTCTCTGTATCTCAGAAGAGCACCTGCTTGCCAGAGTGGTGAGAGTAGATGCTAATGTATGTGAATATATGTGAATAGGGCCAGGCATATAGCAGGCACTCAGTAAATGGTGGCCAATATTGACCAGTCACTAATGAAGATTAGCCTCATTCCAGGTATATAAAGGCACCACCTGAGCTGTGTTTAAGACTACTGAGCATGTGGAAACGCGCTCACCCGAGCTGAGATGTGCTGTAAGCCGAAAGCACACATGGGACTTTGAAGACCAAAAATATTAAAATTTCATTGATTAGTTTTTCTATTGCTTAAGCGTTGAAATGATGAATATTTGGGGCATATGAGGTTAACTAGAATGTACAACTAACATTAATTTCCCCTATTCCCTTTTTTGGGTAACATGTTCAGTAGCAAATTTTAAATTGCATACCTGACTCACATTTATAGTTGACCCTTGACCGGCACGGGTTTTAGCTGCACGGATTATTTTCGATAAATATAGTACTTATATTTTCATTTTGCGGATCTTTAAATTAAGTGTGGGGAAAAGTTTGTGTTGGATTAAAGATCACAGTATGTGGAATATAAGGGACTAGGGTTTGAATCCTGATTGTATTCAAACTGTTTCAGCGTCCTGCACTTTGGTGAGTCATTTATCAGCCCCTTTGTGTTTGAGGCGGAGAGAGCCATCTGCACATGTTCGACTGCTTAGTGGAGATCGGTGCCCCTAACCCCCCTGTTGTGCAAGGGCCCCCTGTATGTTTCTTTTCGACAGCACTGGTCTAAAGGTCTGTTTCAAGAAGTAGGAATGATTAAGAAATGGGAAAAGCATGGACTTTGCAGTCAGGAAGACTTGGGGGGTGTCTGGGTAGCATCACTCTTTGAATGTTATTAGGAAAGTTACTTAGCCGTTGTCTGCCTCTTTCTCATCTGCAAAATAGAAGCAAAAGTCCCTACCACAAAAGACTTGTTTTGAGGCTTAAGTGAGATCTTATAGGTAAGGCACTTAGCTCAGTCACAGGTGCTCAAACAGAAACAACAGGTATGGCTTTTGTTCCAGGCTCGAGGGGTGTTTAGTATTCAGAAGCAGGCTGAATAGATCTGATGAGAAATTAATAATAATAACTCTCATTTGTGTAGCGAGGTGACTTTGGCTTGTTGTTTTCACCTCCATCGCCACGTTTGAGCTCCAGAACCATCCCTTGAGCTGTGGTCAGCCCCTTGCAGAGCTGGGGAAGGCTGGCTGAGGCACAGGACCTGAATCCGGGCATCTTCCAGTCAACTCCGTCCTGCTCCCTCAAAATTTGCCAGGTCTCCGAAGTGTGCTCCAGTTTTTGCTTCACCCTCTGGTGGGGTAGCTCCTGCAGTCATCCCCAGAACAGGGAAAAGACCATCACCCGGTACAACCCAGCCCCTCCAGGGCTTACCCAACCTGGGGGTGCAGCTGAGATGCTGTGTGCTATCTGGGGAGGCTTGAGAGGCAGGGAGGGTGTTCCTGGTGAAGATCTAGTGTTGACACTTGTGACAGAGAAGAGGCAGCTCATAAAGCTGTGTTTCCTGGACACATTGGCCCACTTAAGTCTCTGGCCCACTTAAGTCTCAGACCCATGTGATACCCAAGTGTAGGAGCTGCTGGGGACTCACTCTGGAGACATTGCCCCATTTGTGCTCCCTTGAACTTTTTAAACTTAGATTGGTAAATTGCTCTCTGAGATATTCGTATAAATTGGCAACCCCACCAGCATAGCCAGATATTTCATGATGATAAATCAGTGTGGAGAAAGCAGAGGGAGAGTGAGTTGGCAGCTGGGGGGCCAGTCAGGAGGCTGCGGCAGCTATCCCAGAAGCGATGGGTACCAGAACTGGGACAGGAGGAGAGGATGAAGACCAGAGCTAGTGTGGAAGTGAAATCCCACGGTGTGGTACTGAGTGAAGATAACGGGAGGGGAAATCAAGAATGTGTTTGGGGGGGGAGGGTTCTGACTTAAATAAATAGGTAGCTGTTGTTCTGTTTACTGAGAGGCCAAATATAGGAAAGGAAATAGATGTAGTGAAGCGAAAAGCCATGATTTTGGCTCATAATATATTGAGCTTAATGTGCAGAACCTCCTGTTGGAATAGGGAGAAAGATTCAGGGATGGTGAATCATTCATGGAAACCATGAGTGTGCATGAGCTCTCCCAGGGATGGATGGATGGATGGATGGATGGATGGATGGATGGATGGAAGAGAAGATAGATGGGTGAATGGGTGGGTGGATGGATGGATGGGTAGATGGATGTGTGGTTGGATGGGTTGGTGGATGGATGGATGGGTGACTGGGAGGCTGGGTGAGTTGACGGATGGAAGAGAAGATAGATGGGTGGATGGGTAGATGGATGGATAGCTAGATAACAGAAATCTAGATTTTATTCTATTTAGATTGAATCAGATGAAATTGCTGGTTTTGTTATTTAAAATGATCAAATCCTTGATTTTATGCAGACTTATGTATTTGAGGGGGAATGGTACTGATGAACTGTATCAACAAATAGAGAGGATTGATGGATGGACAGAAGGGTAGGTACGGGGTAAAGTGGGCATGGTAAAAATGCTAGCAGCAGAAGCTAGGTGGTGGGTGTACAGATATTCACTGTCAAATTCAACTTCGTGTATGTTGGAAATCTCCATAATAAATTCAGGGGAAATGTTTTTCAATGGTCAAACGTAACATTTGCATGTGGTTTCACCTAATGTTTACTCCTCATTTGGCCAAAACATCCTTCCAAGTTTCCTTTCTGTGGCATCAACAGATCTGCCTTGCTGAGACTCCCTTGGGCTTATTCTTGCCAGAATTGGGGGCTGGGGGTCAGTGTTCCCCATGCCACCCCCAGAGTTCAGGTTGAATTACCCCAACGTGCTGATTACCCTGCCGAGTTCGCTGGTATCTGGCTTGTAATAATTATAGATTTCCTCTGTCATTTGATCCCATTGGTTGCCATGGCAACGGCGTAATAGCTCAACTGAAGCGCTGTCACGGTGATTTAGAACCAACTCGTCTCTCTTGCAGCCTCCGGTCTGGGTTCCCCCACCCCCTTGCCGTCGTCATGGCAACTGATGAGCAGCATGTGACCGAGAGCGCATTGTTCCCCCCTCAACTCGCCCTCCCCATCTTGTGTACATTCCCACTTTCTCTTCTGGGTCCCCAGTGGACAGACATTGACCTAAGCTTGGGTTGTACCGGGGAGGCTAGAGTAATCCCCCAGACCCCTCCCAGAGAGGGCGTCAGGGGGTCTGTAATTGCCAGGGCATCTGCTCCACCCCTGGAGGCCTTGGAGGTGACCTGGCGCCCCTCAGAGCCCCTTCAGGGCTGTGGCCCCAGGCAAAGTCTGGATCCGCTGCAGCCACTGCCCCAGTCATGGGGAAGCCATTTAGGAATCTGAAGCCGTGGATCTCTGCTTTGTAGCTTCAGGAATTCCCGAGCCTGTTAGAGAAAAATTCAGGGAGAGGCCCAGGAAGGGTAAAGGGGAGACCAACAGCCTATTTCAGGAGGTCCCAGAGCAGGTGATTCACGTGGATATTTTCCTTTCTGCATCTGTCGGGAAAACCTCTCTCTCTGAATCCAGTCCCACACTCTCTCCCTTCCCTTCTCCTCACCTTCTCCCCGTCCCTCTCTCTCTAAGCACTTGCTGGGAACCAGCTGAGCGTGTCTTTTACCAAATCTGCTTTGCTTCTGAGGAGCCCTTTTCTCCCTCCTGTATCTGAGCCTATGTTCTGGGGATGGCCTGGGAGTCTGGAGCATCCTCCTGAGGGGGGAGCTGGTACCCTGCGGCATCTCTTAGGATGAACCATCCAGCCACATCCCTGGGACGCTGCAGAATGGCATAGAGGAGGCGTTTTAAGCAGACGGGAGCTAGGCGTGCTGCAGGACCCTGACGACCAGGCACTGTGAGTGCAGACGGGTGCGCGCGCGCGCGCGTGTGTGTGTGTGTGTGTGTGTGTGTCCCCATCTGTCCTCATGTATTTGCATGTATCTGCTGACAGTGGAGGTGTGTCAGACTGTTATCTGTGGTATTGGGTGTGCAAGTGTGCATGTGTGTGACTTTCTTTCTGAAGGACGCACAAACCTACATGATAGATTTTTCAAGGATGTTTTGTGGAGAGAACACAGCAGGATGACCCCCCTCCTTTTTAAATTTAATTTTTTATTGAAGTAGAGTTGACTTTTTTTTTGAAGTATGGGGTGAGCCCCTTTAAAGTGGGAACAAAATAAACAAAGCTGGGTGGTAAAATGACAGGTGAGGAATTTGCATTGATTGGTAAGCTTGCAGAACCGCTTTGCCTTCCAACCCCAGGAAATGAAGTCAGGGTCACCTTGAAAGGGCATTTTTGCTCAAACCCGCAAAAGAGATCCTTCCTTTCTGTCCTGAGGGCTAAAACAGCACGCGCGCACACACACACAAACACACACCCCTCAGAGAGGAATGGAAGACCCAGAGGGCACCGTCAGGGGCATTTTGCTTTCTTCTTCCATGAGACAGGAGTCTGCAGTGAGATTCTCTTGTCTGACAACCTCGAAGGCTTATGCCGAGAGCAGGTGTGAGGAAACTTTGGATTGTGATCTCCACCCCAGTCACATCTTTTTACTTCTGAGGTCAGTTAGAAGTTTATTTTGAATTTTTTGACCGTAGCAGCCCAGGCCCCAAGAAGCAGCAAGAAAGAAGCAGGTTTAGAAAGTGAAATTTCATTTGCAGGGCAGGATGTGGGACTCCTGGCGACTTGCCATTTAAGGTCCTGTGGCTGGTACATGAGAGCAGGCAGACGCATCACCCCTGGAAGGGGATCCTTTGTGCTTCGCCTGCCCCTGAGTGTTTTGGAGACTTGGTGGCCAGTCGCTCTGTGTGATTGCAGACTCGAGGCTGGGCAATGTCCTTGGAATCTTGGAGGAGAGGACAGATCCAGAGACGAGGACCAGCCCCAGGAAGGTTCCATTCCGAGTAGGAACAGACCCTGCTCACTCGGCGTGATGCCCTCACACTCAGAGGCACCGTTGCCACTTGCAGTCCAAGATGCCAATCTCATTCCCTTACGCCACAGCCTCCGTCTGCAGTGGCCCCAGCACCTCGGTCCACCTGCCAAAGCTCCTCTGTCACTGCTTCCAGGAAAGCTCCAACTTGCACCCGGGTAGCGCTGACGCTGTGGGCCCTCCTTTGCCCGCCCCCAAAGCCCCTGCACCTCTGGCATCGTGTACCTTATAGACCTCTTTCTCCATTTGCCCATGAGCTACGGTTTACTTTACAAGGACTCACTCAAATAAAAATATTAAGATGAAGTACATTCAGAGAGACTGGCTTGAACTCTAAAAATGTCAATGGCATAAAAGGCAAGACAGCTGAGAAATGAATCCAGGTTTGAAAGAGATGAGAGAGCCGTGCATGTGAACTCAGTGATGAGTGATCTTGGGGTGGAGCCTGGAAAACAAACACAAAGGACACTCTGGGGACAAGTGGGAGAATCTGAATAGAGACTATAATGGGTAATACTATGATATCCATGATAGATTTCCTGAAGGTGAGATACTTTGTGTCTCAGATGATTTATACTGAGGTTATATAGGAGACTGTCCCTGTTCTTAGAAGACACAGGCTAAAGGGTATGGGATGAAATATCACAGTGTCTGCAACTAACAAAGAGTTTGGAAGATAGATAGGCAGACAGACAGATAGATAGGTGGGATAGGTACATATATGGCAAAGTATTAACATTTGGTGGTTCTAGGATTGTGGATGGTTGTTGAGCCGTGCTTGCAACTTTTCTGTAGGTTTAAAAATGATGGAGGGCCCACCTTGTGCTGGGCACTCTGGTTAGCTCTGTACCTGGATTGCCTCATACAATCCTCAGAGCAACCTGGGGTTGAGGGAGCCCTTAACATACCCATTTTCCAGTTGAGAAAACAGGCAGAGCCAGATTCAAGCCCCCACCAAAAGCCACATGATTCTACTGCCCCACTGCCTACCCTTCTAGTGAAATTACTACGGGTAACTCTACAGTCTTGCACGCTTCCAGTCTGAGGGTGGTGTAAAAGTTAAGAGCACTGCATCTAGAGCCAGTCTGGGTTCGTATCCTGGCTCACCTACTTAGTGGCTGTGTGTTGTTGGGCAAGTCACTTAAACTCTCTGTGCTTCCATTTCCTGCTCCCCATCCCCCACCCCCACCCCCACCCTTTTTTTTTTTTTTGGTAAGAGAAGATGATCATTGTAACTACTTCAGAGGGTTGTTCTAAAAATTAAAGGCACTGTTATATGTAAAAGCTTAAAACAGGGTTTGACCCAAAGTAAGTAAGTGGTCACTAAATATTTGTTGTTGCTATTGGTATCATTTTTGTTCCTGTAATCCCAGCACCCCTGCCTCAGCTAGTGATGGATAAACCTGGAGGGTCTTTCTTTTCTGCACCCAGGGCTGGCTTGCTTTTTAGAGCTAGCCTCTGGCCAGATGGCCCCTAGTGGGTCCTCCAGAGATCTTGGGGTAGGGGGGAGTAGAGACCTCTTTATCCCACCTCTTCCCAGCAGAACTGCGCTCCATAACCCTCCTGCGAACCAGTAACTCAGGGGTGCTGTGAAGACCTCCAAGAAAACACATCTGTGTAGTCAGAGCCTCTAAGTGCACAAGCTCACCAGAGCTTCCAAAGTCCACCCCAGAGAGCTGGAAGCGGCCCCTGTATTGTGTTTGTTTTGTGTTGCTTTCACCCCTTGACATTATAGGGGTGACTCTTCCGAGTGATCAAGAAGGAACCCAGTTAGGGGGTGTTTATCACTTAACTCGTGGTCTTTTGGTTTTGGGCGCCAGATGTTCACACACGTGAAAGGCATCCTGAGAGCAGGCTGGGGGTGGGCAGGGTGTCTCAGTCCTGAGTGGCCGGGGTGGATCCTCAGTCACCTTGGTCTCTCTCAGTGTCCGCCTCCCAAGGGGGTGGAAAGGAAAGGACCGTTGCCGGAGTGACCACAGTACCCGGGCTGCCTCGATGGGACCCTGCACTCAGAGCATTCTGCTCTGGGGGTGCACAGTCCTCTGCATGTGGTGTGGTGCTCGATGCTGGGGGTGGTGAGACAGATGGGTCACTCACCATCAGGTTATGTTGGTGACCCTCATCACAATGTGAAATTACGTTAAATTTGTTTATTTATTTGTTCCTAGGGAGCAGGATGCAGAGACTCTGCTGTCTAGTCCCCACCCCTACCTGGGTCCTCGTTGTGTCTCCAGGCAGCAGGTGATCAGGAAATAGAAGAATGCCTGATGACAATCCATGAGTGAATGAAGGAGTGAAGGAGTGAGTGAGTCAGTGAGTGAGTGAATACATGAATTTCACAGGCTAAAGGGAGAGACAGATGTGGACAGACTGTCCCGTTACAGGAGAACAGGAAAAGAGTAAGTGTATAAATTTGTGGCTAATCTGAACAAGGCAGATGTTGACAGTTGGAACAAGGTGGTAGATATAGCCAAGTTCATCTTGTGTGTTTGAAATTTTTTATTTTATTTGTTTTTAAAAAGGAATGATTGCTGGAGAAATACAAATCAGTTGCCTCTAACCCTGAACTGAGAGTCAGGAAGGCTTCCTGGAGGTGGCCAGTTGGAAAAGCACACAAAGAGCTAAGGGAATAGCAACAGGAGGAGGGGGCAGAAAGGACATTCCAACAGACGTCACCATGCAAGTGACAACCTGGAGGCAGGACAGAGCAGAGTGTGTGCAGGTCAATGTCCGGAGGGCAGGAGCGGGCAGGACACACAGGTTGGGGGTAGGGCAAGTGCCCCAGCCAAGCCCCTGGGCTTTATCCTGGGAGTAGCAGGGAGCCAGGGAATGTTCAGGTGAGAGAGCCACTGGGTCAGCCGTGTTCTGTGAAAAAAGTAGGTGGTTTCCATGTGAAGCTCTCAAACTGTTCCTGCAAGTCTTATCTTTAAAAGAAAAATTGTATTTATTTATTTTTTTGGTAGGGAGGGATTTGGTTTAATTATGCATTTATTTTAATGGAGGTACTGGAGGTTGAACCCAGAACCTCGTGCAAGCTAAGCACACGCTCTACCACTAAGCTATACCTTCCCTGCCCCTCTTCTCTTTTTGTCTGGAAAATGGCTAGAGGTTTTTGTACATGTCTCAAAGAGTGTCTTTGTAGAGATTTGCTTTTTTTACCTAGCAAATTTGTTTTCCTAAAAGGATCAAGAAGTCATAAAATGGAGGCATTTTTCTCAACGGGAGAGAAGGTAGAGAAAGGCTGTTGAGGAGAGAACCCAGGGAGGTTTGGACACCTAGGTGGGTTTACCCTCCAGAAAGGATGCCAACTAGGAAAAATTGCACCCCAGTTTTACTTACTCCAAATATCTGGCTCCGTGTGGATCAAACACTGGGGAAAAGATTGATGTTTTACAATTGACTGACTCATGTCGACAATCACCGGCATCTGTGATCAGCCTTCCTCCCCAGGTTCATGTCCTAGCTCTTTTGGTGCCATATTTTTGTCCTCCCAGCTCCACCCGTTTCGATAAACTAGTTAAACAAGGCATTGAGAGCCGTAGGGTTAACAGCTCCAGCCATCTGCCCTCTGGTGTCCCGTGGGAAGACAGGGAGCACTCCCTGAACAGACAGATGATGTTTGATGTCTCAGACGCCGCCAGATCGGGGGCTGAAGCTGGCATGAGGATCTTGGAAATCAACACACAAGTGCCATCCAGAAGGCTGGACTGTTTGGCTAGGGTCATGTGATCGCCTCTCACTATGGCCACCTCAACAGCGAGGGGTGAGATTGATCAAATCAGGCGCCTTTTCATTACTCTGTCCTTGGACCTCCCCTCCCCTTTGCTGTCACTTCTGCATCAAAACGTTTAAAGAGTTGGCTTGAAGAATTAGGAAGTGACAGAAGGTAGGCAAACTCTTTGTCACATGTTTATGTTAAAAA